ATGATTTTCATAAGCTATAACACGTATTTTTTTGTTAATATTAGTTCGTTTCAAATGAATCTAAGTTTAGTATGGGAACCAAAAAATTCAAGATTTTCATGCACTATAACTAACAATTTTTCTCAAAGTTTGCATTGTTTTGAAAAACTCTAAATCTAACGTGCATGTCAAAATTCGCAATGTTTATGAGTTATAATCCATGATTTTTACCAACTTTTGTTTGTTTTGAAGGAATCTAAATTTATTATAGTTACCTTAAATATCGTGATTTTCATGAGCTACAATCTATAATTTTTTTAATTTTGGTTTGTTTCGAATAAATCTAAATTTATTATGTGTAAATAAAAAATTATAATTTTTATGGACTATAACCCATGATTTTGTTACTTTTTGGAATTTGGAACGAATGTAAATAATTTGTTTGTAGATAAAAAAATTCGCTATTTTCATGAGCTTTTTAACCTACAATTTTGTTAATTTTCGTTCGTTTTAAACGAATACAAATTGATTATGAATACATAAAATTTACAATTATTATGGGCTGTAGCCGACGATTTTTGTTTCTTATTCATTTCGAACAAATCTAATTTAATTATATGAACATCAAATTTTATAATTTTCATGAGCTATAACCCTTTATTTTTGTCAATTTTACTTTCTTTCTAACAAATCTAAATTTACTATGGAAACATGAAAATTCATGAGCGACACACGGATTTTGTAAATTTTACTTCATTTATAACGACCCTAAATTTATTATGTATACATCACAAATCACGATTTCCATGGGTAATAACCAATGAGTTTTGTTATTTTTTGTTCGTTTAGAATAAATGTAAATTATTTGTTTGTACATCAAAATTTGCGACATTCATGAGCTATAACATGCAATTTTTATCAAATTACGTTTGTTTCAAACAAATGCAAGTTTTTTATTACTGTGTAAAAATTTACCATCTTCAATGGGAAATATAGCCCACGGTTTTGGTTCATTTCAAACGAATTTAAATTTATTCTATAAAGATAAAAAATTTGTAACTTTATGAACTAATATAACCCATGTTTCAAGCAAAATTTATTATGTAAACATGAAAATTCACAATGTACATGTGTCATAACCTATGATTTTTGCCAAATTTAGTTCATGTCAAACTAATGTAAATTTATCTCGTGTACATCAAAAATCGCGAATTTCGTAGGCTATAACCCACGATTTTTACCCTTTTTTCGTCTCAAACGAATGTAAATTTATTATGTGTACATCAAAGTTTACGATTTTTATGAGCTATGACCTACAATTTTTGCTCGCTTTGAATTAATGTAATTTATTACATGTACATTAAAATTTGTAATTTTCATGAGATATAACTCACGACTCTTAACAATTTTTATTCATTTTAAAAGAATCTCAATTTATTATTTGTACATTAAAAATTGTAATTTTCATAGGCTATAACCCATGATTTTTGTCAATTATAATTCATTTCAGACAAATCTAATTTTATTATTAAAATATCAAAATTCACAATTTTCATGCGATATAACCCACGGTTTTTTTCAATACTGCTTCATTTTGAAAGACTCTAAATTTAATATGTGAATGTTAAAATTCACGATTTTCATCAGCTATAAGCATGTAACCTATTATGTATGTCAATTTTAAATTGTTTCGAATGAATCTAAATTTATCATGTGAATATCAAAATTGACCCATGATTTTTTTTCAATTTTAATGTTCTGGACGGTTCTAAATTTATTATGTAAATGTAAAAATACATGATTTTCTGGCGATAAAACCTAAAATTTTGTCAATTTTGGTTCATGTCAAACAAATGTAAATGATCTAGTGTACATCAAAAATCTCAAATTTTCTGTGCTATAACACATGATTTTTTTCCTCACTTTTGTTCGTTTGGAATGAATGTAAATTTATTATGTGTACATCAAAATTTGTGATTTTAATAAGCTATAATCCACGATTTTTATAAATTTTAGTTCATTTTGAAAGAATCTAAATTTATTATAGAAACATCAAAACTGCAATTTTAATAAGCTATAACCCACAAATTTTGCCCTTTATTTCATTTCGAAAGAATATAAATTATATATACATCAAAATTTATTATTTTCATTAGCTATAACCCATGATTTTTATCAATTTTAGTTCATTTGATATGAATCTAAATTTATTATAGGAACGTCAAACTTCAAAAAATTTATGTTATACCCCTGATTTTTGTCAATTTTTTCAATTTTGGTACGAACAAACCTACATTTATTATGTGCACGTTAAAAATCTTAATTTTCATGAGCTATATTCCACAACATTTGCCAATTTTGGTTTGTTTCGAACAAATCTAAATTTATAATATGTAAATAAAAAATTACTATTTTCATGGGCTATAACCCATAATTTTTATTATTTTTGTTTATTTGGAACGAATGTAAATTATTTATTTGTATATCAAACTTTGCAATTTTAAAGACTTTAACTAACAATTTTTGTCAAGTTCGGTTCATTTCAAACGAATATAAATTTATGATAAATAGATAAAAGTTTGTAATTTTCATGGGCTTGTAGTCCATAATTTTTGTCGATTATAAATCGTTCCTAACAAATCTAAATTTATTATGTGAATATTACAATTTGTAATTTTCATGAGTTAGATTCCATGATTTTTGTCAATTTTAGTTTGTTTCAAATAAATTTAAATTTATTATGGGAACGTTAAAATTCATAATTTTCATGAGCTAACCCATAATTTTTGCCAACTTTGCTTTATTTTTGAGCGACTCTAAATTTATCAACTTTCATGGGCTATAATCCATGAGTTTTTCTTATAGAAATGAACGTAAATTATTTGTTTGTACGTCAAAATTCGCGACCTTCATGAGCTATAACACGTAATTTTTGTCCAATTTTGTTTGTTTAGTTCAAATGCAAATTTTTAATGACTATAAAAACTTTACAATTTTGCTTAATCTCAAATGAGTCTAAATTTATTATGTAAAATCTAAATTCGCAATTTTTATGAGCTAAACCCATAATTATTGTCAATTTTAATATGTTTCAAATGATTCTAAATTTAGTATATGAATGTAAAAATTCACAGTTTTCATACACAATAACCTATGATTATTGTCATTTTTCGTCCATTTTCAATCTATACTACATATAAAAAAGGATTGCCTTGTCAAAACTTTTGATTTTCATTTTTGCCCTTTTAAATTTGGTAATTCTCAATATGTCATTAGTTGTAATTAATCATTCACTAATTATATATAACTTCTTATTAATTATGCATTTCCTCACTTTTCAAAACTTTTGGTCACACTATTATTTTATTATTGAATTATGTTATTTAATAGAATATTTGAAATTTATCCCTAATTTATCTTTACATAATATTTAAAATTCTAGAAAAAATAAAAATAATAAAAATTCATTAGCCTTATGCCTTATGCATTTGGGTCTCACGTCTTATGGAGGACTACATGTTACCATTCATCTTATTAGCCTTTTAAAAGTATGAAAAATAATTTGTCTTTATTCTAATTATAATAGTATTAATAGTATAATAATTTTAATAGTATTTTTTAAATTAATGAATTACGTTGTAATTTAATAATTAATACAATTTAGTAAATTATTTACTAATAGTGTAATAAACTAATTAAGAAATTTAAATGTAGTTACTAATAGTATTATAATTTTGATATGTATAATATTGTTATATTTAAAAGAGAATACATTATTTAATATACTATAATTAAATGATGAATAGATTATAATAATTAGCCAAACTATAATAATTAATTGTACAGTTCTTTATACAAATTTTATCGTACAAATTATTAATGTAAAAAAATTGTAATTGTTCAGAATTTATATAGCTATACAAGTCATTTCAGTATTTTGCAAGCAATAAAAAAAATTTGAAAAACATGAAACAAAAGAGATATGCTCTCGTGCAAAGCACGTGCACTATACAAGTGAATATAAATTTATCTTGTGTACATAAAAAACGCGAATTTGTGGGCCACAACTCATGATTTTTGCTAATTTTTGTTCGTTTTAAACGAATATAAATTTATTGTGTACATTAAAATTTACAATTTCCATGAGTTGTAACCCACGATTTTTGCTAATTCATTTCCAATGAACGTAAATTTATTATGTATACACCAAAATTTATGATTTTTATGAGCTATAACCTATGATTTTTGTCAATATTTGTTCATTAAAGAATCAAAATTTATTATGGGAAAACTAAAAATTGTGTTTTTCATTGGCCACCCACCATTTTTGCCCGTTTTTCATTTCAAACGAATGTAAATTTACTATGTGCACAACAAAATTTACTATTTTCATAAGCTATAACTCATGAATTTTGTTAATTTCAGTTAATTTTGAACAAATCTAAATTTATTATGGGAACGTTCAAAATTCATGATTTTCATGCACTATAGCCCATAATTTTTTGCAATTTTGTATAGTTTCGAAAGACTCTAAATTTAATATGTGAATGTCAAAATTCGTAATTTTCATTAGCTATAACACACTTTTCATCAGTTTTGGTCCGTTTCGTACAAATCTAAATTTATTATTTGTACGTCAAAAACCGCGATTTTTATAAGATATAATCCTCGATTATTGTCAATTTTGATTTGTCTCAAACAAATCTGTAACCTCTTAAGTCATATATATGATTCCTCTTGTACTTCTGTTGTTAGTAAGAAAATTATGTAGAGATGTCAAGGAAAATTTATTCATTTATAAGCAGCAATCTAACTCAGTATCCATGAAATGAATCAAAGGTACAAATGTCATAGCCTTCATGAGAAACGTAGTTCGGCAAGCTTTCAAACCCTTAGTATTTGCATATCAATATCATACCAAAATTAAGGCTATAATATAAAAGCCAGAGAGTAAAACAGTATTAATTTCCAAACATAAAATTGTTTGTACCAAGTTTTCTTGAAATCCAGAGAAAGTGCACCTTGGTAAGTGTTGCTATTCCACTCATTCTTTGCATAAAATTGAGCACAACTCTTTCAGCCACCACAATGTTATGTGCACATCCTTAAAAAAACACAAGCAGCAGAAAGTAAATATAGAGTTAACATCTTGGCACATACTCTTAAAGAAATCCGAAGAGTCAAGAAGTACCATATACTCTGCCAAATTGTGTGCCTTTACGAATATGATTCCCATCCTCTGCTGACCACTCAATCTATCAAAATCATGTTAACTTGCAGAAACAAAATGGTGCGATTACTATAATGAATAGAAAATGTATTATTGGATAAGAGCTAAACCTTCAATGAAGGATCTACTTCACTAAAAATCATCTCTGCAAGAGCAATTCCAGCAATGACCCCATCCTCCTTTGCTATAAAATGTGCCTCCACTTCCATATCAATTGGAACAGTGGCCAAACAAGTCACATCACCTTCACCAAAGACAACAACAATTTCATCAATCCAATCAGAATGATTTTTCTCCTCTCAATTCCCTAAAAACTCACCTTTCAACAGTTCCATTTGACAATTTGATACCCCAAAGTGCAAAAAGTTGACATTAATTTCGTTCAAGACTATCAACATATAAAGGTGGATGAGAAACAAATTTTCTCACCAAATTTCAGTTTTTCGAGTTTGCGGCTCGTGAGGAACAAGGTTAAGGCTTTAGGTTATGAAATTGTTAAATTAGTGTCAATGAAACACTTTGGGGAATCATATTTTTCAGAATAAAACTTGAGGGTATCATCAAAGTTTAAAAGAGGTTGAAGCTTTGGGGCATTAAAATGCAAATAAGCCTAAAAACAACAGCATGCACAACAATTTAAAGCAAAAGAAAACCAAAATTACGCCAAAAAAAAGAAGCTGAATTATTAAAATTTCACCTCGATCGCCGGCGTCTTCTGCAAGAGCTAAAGCAATGACAGCCTGCAAATCGTACGTCGGGTGAGAGGGCGGCTTCACCACCATCGATTCCACCGACGTGATCGGCCTCGTGGCCCCCACCACCGACATCTTTACGACTCCCCGCCTGTACAAAATTAATTTGCAAAATGAATTAGAAAAGTCAAAAAAACGAATTTGCAAAATTCTAGGGCTTCGTAACAAAATAAGAAACGGAGGATAAACCTTGTTAAATTTCTCCAATTCGCTGGTTGAGGAAGAGGAATTAGGAGGCGCGACGGCGAGGTTGAGATCCCCAACATCGCCGGCGAGATCTGGGAGAGCGAGAAATAGATTTCTCGATTTTGTCGACGCACCCACTAGTGACCATTACACTGAGATGCTGGGCCCACCAGTAGTTGCTTTTGTCTATAGATGACGAATTTTTGTCTTTCGAGGAGGAAGAGATAGGAACCTGATAATGGGTCGGAGCTGGTATCCGGGTCCGAAAAGAGTTCGGCCCAGTAGAACGCGTGGGTAGGGCACGACTAATTTTTTATTTATTGATTACTTTCCCAAATAAAGTAGAAAAAAAATACAATGATATCCTTTCCTTTTTTTTTATAAAGATATGCTTGTTTGGTTATTATGAAATTACGTGAAAAAAAGAACTTTGATATTTATTTTTTACAAAGAGATTAATGTATATCATTATGTCATTTAAGATGATTCTCTATAGTTTTATCATAGCAAAATATATGTGAAAGATTAATGTATATCATATATCATTTGAGAAGATTCTCCTATATTATTTTACCTCACTTTATAGGTGTTATGGGTCTCTCCTCTTTTACACAGCTCGGTCACTTTATATTAGAGAAACTTCCATGAGACGAGGATACTAATTATGTCCTTCTTACAACGATGAGATTTATTGCTTACAACCCAAAAAATCTAATTGTAGACCATACAAGTGCATGATCCACAATCTCGTGCCAAATCTTCATGCTTAAGACTGTTCTGAAATGTAAAAACAGGTGATTCGAGATTAATGATTTCTTTTAATACTAATTTGCACTATTTGATGAATTAGTAAATGAATTGTAAACCACAAGATTTTCATTTGAAAATAGTTCAAAGCATGGAGATGATGCTCAACATAGGGACCGTACGATAGAATCAAATGGTCCAACATGCACTTGTTGGTACCACATCACTAAAGATTCATATGCAAGCCTGCATCCATTTTCTCTAGTTTAGAATGGGCTAAATTAAAATATAAATAGACTAAATTACATCAAGTGGTAGAAATATCCTAATTGAAGTTTGTCTAATGTGCTCACTTTCATAACTTGCTATATAGTGTGGACCCTTTATTTCTTCATATATCTTCTTCGTCCAAGTTCACAATTTTTCCTATAAAAAACCGTTTGGCAAAGGGTTAAGTGAGGGGTTAAGGAGACTTAACCCTTTCTTAACCCGTCAAACACAAAAAATCTATACAATGGTTAAAGTGAGTTAACCTTCCATAATTTACCAAACATAAAAAATATAGAAGAGATAAGCTAACCCTTCTAGAGGGATTAAAATGAGTTAACCCCTCAAAATGAGGGGTTTACTAATACTCCTATTTAGAAGGATTAAGAGTTAACTCTTCTAATTATAAAAAAAAAATAGTCCAAATCATTGTTATTCCCAAACACTACAAATGATCATAAGGGTTAAAATAAAATTTTTATAACGGGTTAATAGTTTAGTCCTTCAGATTATCGAATGGGCTAACTATGTTAATCCTTCTTTTTAGGGGCTGTTTGGTTCATTTCCAAAAAATTATGGAAATGGATTCCCACATAAGAAACCAATTCTATAAAAATTTTAGGATATCAAAGGAATCCAAATCTTTTGTTTGATATGGAAGGATAAAATAAGGTTTTAGTAAAAATTTTAGGATATCAAAGGAATCCAAATCTTTTGTTTGATATGGAAGGATAAAATAAGGTTTTAGGAAATGGTATCCAAAACTGCTGTTTGTTTCACCCTAAAAAAATCGGAAAAGCATCATGAGAGAAAAGCATCATGAGGAAAAGCACCATGAAAAGCTGAGTTGGCACCCTCATTTCCAAAAAAAGAGCCTATTTCCAAGCTTTTAGACAGGAATTGGCCGTTCAAAAAAAAACACTATTTGACAAGGTTTTAGGAAACCATTTCTTAAAAAAAAAATGAAACAAACGCAGTTTTTGGATTTCTAAAACCACAAAAATGTTACTTTTTGTTCTAAAAACCGGGTTTTCCAAAAAAACACCCTCAAACAAACACGCCCTTAACCTCTCTTCCTTATACCTTTGCCAAACGAAAGTGAACACTAGGCGTGGATGTCCGCTAAACAATACTTGTTCCTGTTCTTCCAGGATAATACTGGGACTCATCCGAAAACAACAACTTTGAGCGAGTACATTGTAAGTGACTAAAGAATAAAAACTGTTCGAAGGAACAAAAAGATGATGACTAACATAGTGTGAAAGAAATCGGAGATGCATTTTATTTGTTTTTCTGATAAAAATTTGAAAAGGTACAAATCACTCAAGCACCTATAAATTAAACCGGAGCAAAAGGCCTCACGCTTGCAATCACCATTGAAGGGCTGGAATTTTGTGCGAATAAAACACTGGCGGGGGACAGATTTTGCTCAGATATCCTCGGGGCCATTTATTGTCTGAAAAAAAGAAAGTAAAGAAGCACAATTTTGGATCATAAGTTTTTGATGCATAATATAGAAAGTGGAAAATAAATTGATACAGACAAACCAGGCTCCGCACCTTGTTCCCCAACATGGCGCCATCAGGAATCTCCAACTTTGTGCCTGGCTTGGCATTGATATTCACATTGCCCTTTAAGGAAAGAATATCGGAGGAAATCACTAAAACTACACTCCGGGAGTTTAGTGTGTACTTGGAGTTTATAATATTCAAAGTTCATGGAGAATCAACCAAAAAAATAAAAAAAATAAAAACATGCCTTATATGAGCGCATGGATGTACAATTTCAATTTCAAGAATTTCGATCTTCAACTCACTGGTGGAATGGCCTAAGGAAATTGTATGAAGTCAAATTATGGTGTTTCTAACATCAATGCATAATATATGCAATGCATTCTTATTATATTTTCTCAGATAACTTAATAAACCTTCACTTTGCTCATTGTCAGGAAAGTATCACAAGATTGTGTAAGATCAAATGATATATGGCACAAGGAGGCCATAAACGAGACGTCAAGGAAATTTCAACAAAATCAGCAGCAGCAGCAGCAGCATTTCCACAGCAAAAGGCCCAAAATCCTACTGCTATAAGAAATTGTCGTGTTAAACTAAATTTAACTTCCATGTCGAAGAAGACAAAAATCTTCAAACACCTATTACTAGAAAATTTCACAAAGAAGGCTGCTGATGAATGTTGACGAATATCTGAAAAGAAAAACAATAGAAGCAGGATGCATATAGAAATCAAGATTTTCAACTGTCAGAAGTTCATTGGTATACTCGAGGGTTTCCCACTAGTGAGTATTCTGAAGTGACTGACTATGCAAGAAATGAAAAGATATACTGACTTCATGAGACGACAAATGATTGAACTAGTAAACAAATAAAAATGAAAGAGCAGTATTAGAAATATTACCTTAAGAACTATGTTAGAACCAAAGCAAACATCACCAGCCACTTTCAAGTTTTCAAGCTGGACTATACTCGGAATGGACTTGAAGCGCTTGAGGAAATCACCAACCTAGGAAAGGAAAGCAAGAAATCAGTATTTTATGTGAACGTCACTGCATTATCATCCCATTAAATATAGAGTTACCTTCTTAAATTCAGGTCCTAGATCAATGGATGGGTTTGCCGGATTAGCTCTGTCTTTGTTTCGGATTACCGAACCATCGGCAAGGGTATAAAGATCAGACTGCAAAACATAATTAAAAATTAGAATAGAATATCCAAAAAAACAGTTATCTAACTTTGAGGGAAAAAAGAATCTTGTAGGGATTACCTGAACCAGAAGCAGATCTGATGATGTTTTCACTGGGAGAAACCGGGAGCGAGGAACATTAATCCCAATTGCATGATTAAAGAACTAGTACAAAAAAATTGAGACTTTGTGATAAAATCATAGGGAAAATCAGTAGAACAAAGTAAATCAGTTTGATAATTACGCGTATGGCTGCTCCAGCTGCTGTCTCCAATTGTAGGATTTTTATGCCGTTAACCTCCTGCAAGCATTGGTGACATCACATTACTATTTAGAGCAAATGACAGTAAAAGGAAATCAGGCTTGACGCAAAACAAAGTTACCTTGGGGTTTGGGATGATCTCCATTTTAAGGGCATCAGCCTCTACAAGGCGTTTAATAGCTTTCAAGTTCACCCACCTGCACGAGTAGCATAATTAGAAAACAGTTATGCATTGACGATGGTTATAAGCGCAGAAGCACAAATTACACATACAAGTTGTTGGTATTAAAAATCTTGAACTTTTCAATCGATTTAAATTCATTCACCTGCACAGGAACAACAAAAAAGAAACAATATTAAAATGTATATATACACATATACATACATATATACATTAAAAAAACCACCTCTGAGGGAAACAGCAACTAGCAATAAATTATGCCGAAACTTCTATTAGTTACAGATTTTAATAACAAGAGAAAGAAGAATTTATGCCATGGCTTACATGTTCATCTGCAACTTGTGCAATCTCCAAAAGCTGCAATCAGTAATGGCATGAGCACATGTCAGATTAGATAGGAGGTATCAAGCAACATAAATCAATTTTGCCAAAATCAAGAGATAAGACAGCTTAGTAGATTAAACAATTACTAAAAACTCACGGTAATTAGGGGAAATGCGGAAAGATAACAGCTCGTAAATCAGTAAGGGATGGATCAATATATAACTGCTTTTTGAAAACCTAGGTTGCATGGGTACGGGTACGGTACAGGTACGGGTATGGGTATGGGACACGGCAAATTTGTAAAAAGTATGTTACGGGGACACGGCTATATATATGCATGTTACATATATTTGTATGTATTAAAATTAATAATTTACATAAGATCAATATTGTTTTTGCATTTAAATAAGATCAATATATAAGAAAGAGATGTGAAGTGTAGATAATACATCCAAGAAGTATATGAGGAGTGTTTTAAATTAAAAAATGTGTTTTATAATTGACTATGGGCCCGAATAAACATATACATATATTCAAGAAGTGTCCAGAAGCGTCCAAGAGGTTTGGGTACGGGTACGAGCACGTGTCAGGTACGGCTATGGCTTCCTAATAGAAGTACCCAGGTAACGTAGTCGAAAACACTTCCTTTTCAAGCTCCAAGAGGCCTCTGGTAATAGCAATCTGAAAAGGAACCAAGCCCTGTTCCTAGGGCAATGGTTCAAAGCAATCGAAACCTGGTAACATATTAAGATTGTGTTTCATATGTCCAGTACTAGCTTAGTGTTGCATCCTCAAGGATTACAAGGTCAGCGTACTAAGTCAGATGAGGTTTGCCAACAATTTTCCATAACCGAACCTAGATTTGATGCATACCTTTTCACTGACCGCATGTTGAGAAGGCCTAGATGCAAACCCCTTCATGAGAAAGAAGCCTAGCATCCCTAAAATGTGATTCCAACAAGATTCTAGGAAAAGCAGTCTAGGGGCTTGCCTAGGCCTAAGCGGTACAGGCCACCTGTCTAGGTCTTAGAAGCACCTATGCGAGCATGGGCTGCTTATGCAGACTGCACAGATTAGATCCTGGTTGTGATTTCCTCCGCTGCCGCCTCCACATCCTCCAACCTCCTCCGGCCTCTTCCACCGGCTCCAAACACCTCCTCCGCCGACTCCAATCTACAGCAAAACCTCCTCCATCTCTAGTTAAACAAAAAAGGAAATCCGCCCAGGCTCTAAGTAGGCCTCCGCCTAGGTGCTAGGTCCGGCACAAGGTTTTAAATATCGGATGTCGGGTTCATGTCGGACGGCTGAAATCCATGTCGGATAGCGGGAATCGGGGATATATCGGGGGACATGGACTAAATATCGGATTGCCATATCGGGTGATCCACATATGTATAATATCATGCCCTAAATGTAATCTAACTATCTAAACATTCCTAAATTCATAACTTCATGACTCTGCACATTTCAACATTCATATGCACATTTAAAATAAAATAAATCTCTCCTTATTAATCAATAATCATTAGCCTATTATTAATCAGTTAGCCTATTATTAATCAAGTGATCAAACATCAAGTAATCATTAGCCTATTATTAATCAAAATAGTCCACAAACCAAACATTCACGTGTGAAGAAGAAAAAAAGAAAAAACAGGAAAATCGGCCGATATGGCCGATTTTCCAAACAAGAGATATGGCCGATTTTCCAAACAAGAAAATCGGCCGATATGGCCGATTTTTCGCCGATATGGCCGATATGTCGGTAAAAAACGATATGCGACTTGTTTTTCCCCGATTTGTGTCGTTGGACCCCTCAATCCGCTATATCGGCCGACATGTCCGACATGTCGGCCGATATTTAAAACACTGGTCCGGCATCTATCACTTTCTATAACATTGCCACTTAGTTCACTGTAACTGCAGCTACGTGGAGGAAATTTATAACATATTTCGTTAAGGAAAAAAAAGAGAGAGAATGTCTAAGACACATGAAGATTCTTGCTAACTGTATTAACAACAAATTGGTGAGGTGAACTATTTTTGCAAACTATATTAACAAGAAAATTGGCAGGATGACAAATATTAAACAAAACAGCCACAAGTGAACTGCAGATGATGCACCAATTACCATAAATAACCAAAATAATATCATAAAAATTGGAAAGAGAGAACTATAATCACTTACCTGAACCCTTCCCTCATATGAGATCAAAGTACCACCTTTAACGTCTGCCAAAGTTTTAGGGGTCACCTGATAAAATTGTAAGGTTGGATACTGGCATAAAACCTAAATTGGGTTTCAAAATAGATGATAGTGTTAAATTTACCTCCATACAGTACTCATTCTTCTTGTTGATCAAGTGGTTGAGGATTTCTGGTAATTTCGTCAAGGATACACAAAGACATTCTTGCAGGAGTGGGCACATGGACAGTCCAACATATTTATACAACCATATGCATGTACATTGGCATGTATATAGGTGTAATATTACTTAATTGTAATGAAGTATATGATTGGAAGATGATTAAGGATACTTAAGTCGACGATAGAGCCCAAATTATCTGAGTTTGCAACAAAGATGAACTCCTTACCCTGCAAAGAAGCTCAATCGGAAAAAGTAGTCAAGAGATAAGGCCAAAATAGAAACTTGCTGAAAAAAAGAAAAGATGGAACACTGAACGATGTGTTGTAATTAATAGATTGCCTGTGCAGACCTTTGATAACATTGCATCTAGCTTTCCGCTGTTCATCAAAGAAGAGAACACATCTCCATGGCCAGGAGGATACCTGTACATTTAAAAATGTGTTAGAACCAAAAAGTTAAAAAGAAAACGCAATGTCATAATCTGATTAATGGTGAAAATTGTGATGCATCATCTTTTCACTGACCAACCTAATGCCCCACTTGTTCCAGTAATATTACAGCAGATGCAATACATTATGTGGAAACAAAAGGTTAAAATATAAAAGAAAGTGGAATGCAATTCCTATCTATTATTCACTAACAAAATACTGACAAGTAGAAAAGAGCATCCATGTGAGCATTGTAGTTACTTACAGCTAAAACAACTCCTACAAATATTTTCTCGCATAAGCAGACTTTATCAATTGAGAGCAGCAAAATGTCTACGAAAATGCTTTAAAACAATAATATACTGAGCAAAAGAAAGATTAATACAAAAAAAAGGAAAGACTTAGGGAAAGGTCCAACTAGTTACAAAGTTAAAGAGCATCTTTAAAATTATGGAGAATGTGTGCACAAACTTATTCCGTCCATCAAAACTAGTTTAAGTGAACACAAAACTCACAGGGTAACTGAATGAGAAAAAGACACTTTTGATTACTGTAACATTTAAACTTACACTGTCTCCCACCAATGAATGCACAAAGTCAAAAGCATTGACTTAAGAGTACACCTCATTTAGCGGTTTTGAAATTGACTTGAGAATACACCTCATATAGCAGTTTTGTAAACCCTAATTGTGAAGCCCTCATTCGTGTAAAAATCATTTATATAAAATAAAGTGCTTAAATTATCCTGATTAGATATCCATAAGTCGTTTAGCTTTGATATTTCTAAAAGTTGGAAGTATTGAAGAGATGTAAAAAATGTATGTTTCATACATGTTGATGGACTATCAAAATCATCATGTCCATGGATAATTACGGCCTTTAAGTCTGAAAAGATGAAAGTGGATTAAATTACAATAACTTTCCTGTGAATATCATGCCATATCAATTTCTGCAAGAGGTACTTCAATTGTCAGCGGCATGCTTGAAGACCAGTCTTGGTGAACAATTATATTATTATGCCTTCAAGGAAGTATTCATCATAAAATCTCTGACTGGATAGGTGTGACCAAAACAAATTCAAAATCAAGTGATTTTAGTGATTTCTTTAGGCTTGCTTGCTTTAAGTTTGACTTTAGAAAAATAGCCTAAGTATCGTAGGTGCAAATATCACATACAAATGGAGGCACCCATTTCCAATGAAACAATACTCCGTACTGCTTTGAGAGTGAGAGAAGGAAAGAGAAATTAGCTATAGGACTTCATTATATTAGAAAGGGCTTAAGTTTTACATCATATGCTGATCAACATGCTTATTAAAAGAACAAGTTTTTGCATTAACAAACAAAAATTGTTTGCCCTCTAGAAAGCAGATATAATTGCTTTTAGTCATAATTGGACTAAAGTAATCTGTTATGACAGTGAATAAAATTGAACACCACTTACCAGCCATCTTTCCCTTGCTGACCTTTGCATGATAGTGGAATAAACTCATCAGCAACTAAACGAGGATATTGGCTCTGTAAAGAAGAAGATAGACTTATAAAATTGAAAAAACGGTTTTCTGTGTAGAAGAGAGAGAGTTCATTATTTTGTGCTTACAAATTCATGGTCAAATGCATCTTTAAAGCTTATTCATATACCAAAAAGAGGATGAACACTTTCTTGATATACTACTTCAGAAATAACTCCAACTAAACTTAGTCAGTAAAAATGCATACAGTGTGCAAGCCCCTACATCTCTCCAAATAATTAAATAAGCATAATCTCTTACAATTTGGTTATCTATAATATTTGTGCCAAAATTTCGAGACATGAAGTAAAATAATGTGCATAAATTCTATACCTGATTGAAGGTATGGATTTCAATGTTTGAGTTTGAATATTTCTCAACAATCTACAGAAAGAAAATAGATGCTCCAATCATTAGTTCCAGCAGCAATTTTTAAATTCAACAACATATGAGGTTTAGAGCATCACCTTTGCTGTATCCTCATGCGTATTGAATGAGTTCATTAGTAACAGGGGAACACTGCACCCATATTTTGAATTAAGAAACTGCAATGTTAAAATTAAAATTGTCACTGTTGTATATGAGGAAATAGAAACAAAACTGAAAATTCAAAAGAAACAAGACTGGGAAGACATTCACAGTTACTTACTTCTATCTGCTTGACAATTAAGTCAAGAAATGTAAACCCATCTCTGACTTCAATAACTGATCTGCAATTAGTGAATTTTGCTATTATATTAGCAGATAAATCACATAACTAACTCAAACGTCCATGTAAACACAATAACATGTTCTTCTCTTTGAGAAACTAAAATTCCTCAAACATCATTCATCTTTTATCGGCATGAAGACATTCAGTTTTCATACTTTAGAAGCATATATCATACGTGCAACACCAATTGCAAATTAAAGGATAAATTCGATACAAGCGGAGTAGTTTCAAGGTAGATATAAAGCGAACAAAAAGGTGATGACTTTAATGTACTTAAATTCACTTTAGGTTCTAAATATCAACATCTCAGATGATCAATCTTACTTTGGGCCGGTACAGCCCATCGTAGTCCCCAGTCCTCCATTGAGCTTCAGCACAACGAGCTTATCTAGAAGCTTCTTCGTCTCCCCGATATCTGCATTGCTCTTAATCGATCACAATCCTTCCAAATAAACTAATTAAACGGAAAAAATACAACAAAAATAGGAAATTTTAGGTTATTTTAGAAATCAAGATTACCTTCTGGAGGAGGAGCTAGGGTATCATAGGGAACAACAACCTCATCAGTCGGAGTCTGGATCTTGCTCCATTCGATGTGCTCCGCTTCTCCACTTCAATCGGATCGAGAAACACAAAAAATTTACGAAAATGCCACTGGAAAGACTGAAACTGAAATGTTCGGGTGTGGATCGAGGATCTACCTCAAGTAGCGGGAAACGAGGTTGATGAATCCAGATTTCTCGTTCGCGCTGTAAAAATAATAATAATATCCAAAATTAGACTAAAATAAAACAAGAAACTGAGGGGGAAGAGGATAAGTTTTGGTGAATGTGAACCTGATCTCGTTTAGACCGTCGACTGCGGATCGGAGTTTGGAGAGCTTATCGGAATTGGACGCCATTGGAGATCGAGGTCGAGCTTAGACAGAGAAAGAGGAGTGGAAGATGGAGAAGAGAGGGTTTCCATTTATAGGGAACGGAGAGCTGACGTTTTCCGTCGGGAGAGACGGAGAGATCCGACGGGTTTGACGGCGGAGGGAGCGGGAGAGGCGCCATTTTTGCCACGCGCGGTTTTGAATGGGGGCGTGCGCTGTGTCAGCGGCTGAGG